ACACATGGCACGGGGTTTATTGAAGGACTTTAGGGAACAGGGCGGAGGGAAAGCAGGGGGCGACAACGACAGCTGGAGCTGCCCTCGGAGTGTTGCGGTGTGGGAAATGGAATATGTACTTCCACCCTCTTTGCTGCTGCTGCTGCTGCTCTTACTCTCCCTCTTTCCATGTCTGTGTGTGTGGAAAAATAAGCACCTGGTGCTATTTTGTTTGTGCTGTTAGTTTTCACTTTTTTTTCCGTATTCGTTTTCTTTCTTTCCTCTCGTTCCTTCTTTTTATTCTTTCATTTACTTGCGTGCCGATTGGGGACAAGGCACAAGGGTGCGCGTTATCACCACTCACCGCTGTGGCTATGCCGCAGGAGTTGACGTGTCGCCAGTGGCGGGCCCTGGCCACTGTGTATCATCTCTACACAGCAAGGGACGGTGCTGACGAGACAACAGCAGCAGCAGCAGCAGCCGCAGTGGGAATCTCTGGTCATGCCGAACAGAAGGCGGGGAAAGAGGCGGTGCAGTGGGTGGAGNAGACAACAGCAGCAGCAGCAGCAGCCGCAGTGGGAATCTCTGGTCATGCCGAACAGAAGGCGGGGAAAGAGGCGGTGCAGTGGGTGGAGGGTGTTCTGCCCCTGCTGCAGCGCGCCTTCCCGCCGGAGGTGGTCGCGGAACTGCGCCAACGGACGCGACGGCGCGATGCCGACAGCAGCCACCACTGCAACGGGCGGAACCGAAAGCGGGTGGAGCAGTGGCGGAAGTTGATTCCAGAGGAAATGGATGCGCTTCTCTCGGCACTGCTGCTTCTACCACCTGCAGAGAATGATGCGTCTTCGTCCTTCTTGTCCTTGACAAGCAGCGAGCATGCTTTGCTGCGACTTCTCAACAAGGAGCAGCGCTGGGCGGATCGCTGCTACCAGCAGAACGCGACCCTGAAAGAACAAATGCGACGCGTGGGCGAGTCGCTCCTCAGTTTGGCGGCGGGTGAAAGCAGCGGCGTCGCGGACGGCTGCAACGCGGCCTGTGGGGTGGCGATGGTGAAGCCGCCGCGCGAGGAAAGGGTAGCGGTCGAGAAGGTAACCGGCGCTGCAGGAAACTCGCATGATGGTCAAAAGAAGCTGGCGGTGGCTGTGCTCGACGACGAGGAGGCTGCTGGCACAGAGTCCTCGGAGACCCCCGACGCCTCCCTTGAGTATGTTGGGGCGCAGCCCCCTCCACTAACTACAACAACAACAACAGCAGCAGCAGCAGAAGCAGCGATGGCTGCGGCGGTTGATTTAACTTGCGCCGGCTGCGGCGAGGGGGGCGGGGAGCTCTTCCAGTGCCGCCACTGTCACCTGCTGCGCCACGAGGCCTGTGGGGGGCCCAAGGTAGGGTCCGACACCGGCTTCTGCGACGTGTGCTGCCACGAGCTCGGTCTCTCTGTCAGCAGCCAGAGCCTGCGCTCCTCCACATCGACGGAGGAACGCGCGGAGCTCGGTGACGATGACGACGACGACGACTCGAGTCTGTCGGGGTTCATTGTGAACACATCGGATGCCTCGGAGAGCGCCGAGGAGCCGTCGTCGTCCTCCTCCTCCTCCTCCTCCTCCTCGACGGTGGAGAGAAGGGGGCTCCTGCCCACCAAAAGGCGCCGCCGTTCTTGAGACTTCTCACACACAAACGTCGCACTTTTGCGTGCGGGTGGGCGTGCACAACATTCCCATTAATGCTCGGCAAAAGACGAAAAGTATTTAAAAAAAAAAACACATGAAGTAGATGGGAACGAACACAACAGCCAGAGCAGTGGTTTCTTCTTGTTCGCATGATGCGCTTGTGGCATCAATGTTCCCCGAAAACACCCAATGCATTGCCTGCTTACAAAAACGCTCTCTCCCTCTCTCTCTCTCTCTCTCATTCTCTTTTACACACGCTCCCTTGCCGCTAGAGGTTTATATTTGCTTCCGGGGGAGAGGGGCTGGGCCGTACGTTTCCTCTCTCTCTTTCTCTCTGGAGTCCCCGCCCCGAGATAAACCACAGCATCGACAGCGATACATTAAAGATGACAATGCGTGAGGATTCGTCGCCGCCAGCAGGCGCGGACATCCTGTCTCCTGCCGCACGTAGCGAATTCACCACCACAAGCTTCCTTTCCACCCGCAACGGCGACCACGGTGCTGCGGGATCGCGCTACTACGACGCAAACCTCGAGTGGGTGCCGACCGTCCCCCTGCGCTGGGCCGCGCATCGATGGTACCCGCAGCTGCAGAGCGGCGTCCACCGCATGGAGGCGTGCGGGCGCTTCTTTGTGCAACTGCTCGGCCTCGACGAGTCGCGCTACGACTACGTAGCAGAGGGGCGCCGCGAGCGGCGCCAGCGTCAGCGGCGCAGGATCAACGGTGACGCGAATGGAAATGACGACAATGACGAGGAGGAAGAGGAAGAGGAGGAGGAGGTGGTGGAATTACATGCGAGTGAACATGGGCAGACTAGTGGTGTCGTGCCGGTATTCGGGAGGAACAGCGGCAGTGAATTTCGCGACGTGGACGACGTAGACACTGTGCGGCGCTGCATCTCCAGGAGTCACTGCGAGACCCGAAAAAAAGTGCGGCGCACGTGTGCTCCGTTGCGTGGCTTTCCCATCGGTGAGCTCCCAGAGGAGCAGTGTTACTGAACAGTGCCACGTTTCCCTCTGGTGCTTTCTGTTTTTGATTGCCTTATGGAGAGGGTGTGAGGGGTCTTGCTACCCATACTCCTTGGTTTGATCGGCCACCGCGCCGTGTTTATATGCGCCACTCAGCCGCTTGCCTGGCGGCCGTGGCCATTGTGCTTGCTTGGTGAGTGCTTTTGTCTTTTTTTAATGACACCGAAGGGTGCTGTTGCTACTGCTGATGGTGTGGATCTCTCTATCTATATATATATATGTGTGTGTGCTGTTTCTTTCCTTTGCTATG